CAGGGCTCTAGAGTGCGACCAATTTGGTCGCAAATGCGACCAAATTTTTCAGTGGTGCGACTAAAAAAAAAAATTTGGTTGCACCTGTGCGACCAACTGTTCAGGTAGAAAAAAAAAAATCTGCAACCTTCCCTGTGGTCAACAACAGACACACATTATGCCCCTATCGTGGACTAAACCAATCAGAGATAGTAAGGGGCGGGACCTCTCTGATTGGCCGTAGTCCAGTTGAAAGTGCAGGTGGAAGTGGGAGGTGAGTAGCTTGAATAAAGCGATATTATTCATTAAATCCTGAATCGACTTTTAAATATAACTGTGTTTTGCCAGAAACGCCAGATTCTCAGATTAAAGCTCACAAAACCATTTCAACAACAACCAAACAGCAAATGAGAGCAGGTACACGAACTCCACACAAAGATGTAAACACAGACCCGACGCATCAGAATCAACTTTGTCTTTCTCGGCTTTCTCACCCGACGGCCCGTAGACGGACACGCTGTCGGAGCTTAGCGATCCTGATGCGTCCGGTCCGCGCTGTGTTTACGTCTTTTTGCGCTGATTCTGAGCTGCAGGTTTTGTCTCTCCAACCAAAATTCACTGAGTCAGCAGCAAAAGAAGCAGCAAACTGCGCTTCACATTTGATCAATGTCGTCATGAATTTTGCTGTTTTGCTTCCACGACTATTAAAATCACACTTCGTGCACAGCTAGCTCTCTCTCTCTGTACTTCAAGAACAGTTTCCCAATCTCTGTTTTCTGTATTATTCATTCGCTTATTACCCACCAGTCTACCGTTGTTTACAGCGCTGTGGCTGTTTTCTTTTCTTTTTCTTTTTTTCACTTAAATGATCTCGGACAAGAAAGCCTATTTTTTCTGTTGTTCAATACTGAAGAAATTTAAACTTTATATGCAGAACATTGTAGAATATTTTTAAGGTTATCTGCTATAAAAAGCCAGGCCAGGAAAATCTCCTTCATGTTTTTCTGTGTTTTATTCTCAGTTACTTTCACACAAAGGCATCTGCTGTGATGTTCACAATTCTGATGAAGTCTCACATGTATCAGTACTGATAAATGATCAGAATTATAATAGTTCTGACTGTCTGAGGCTAAGTTGAATCGAATCGGGACTTTGAAAACCGGAATCGAATGGATTATAGAAATCAGTGATGATACCCAGCCCTAGTGAGCAGCCTAGGCACCACAGAAGTGGATGTAGCTGTAATAGGAAAAGAACTATTGCTAACTTTTCTTTTAAGTTAAGGCCTGATCCGTCTGAAATTCATAGCCAGTGCTCTGACACGGTGTCATCAATCTTTGAATGCTGAAAAAGCACAGTGTATCCAGAAAAACACATATTATATAAATTATTATAAAATTTGTGTGCGCCTAACTTTTGTGCCGGTACGCCTAACTTTTTAAAGTTAGGCGTACCGGTACGCCCATGGCAAAAAGTTAGTCTAGAGCCCTGTACATGCATTCAATATGCATTTAATCTCACAAATAATATATGTATGTAAGAAGAGAATGCATACATGTCTGAAGAAAATATATGTATGCAAGAGAATAATGTATGTGAATGAAAGAGTATAGTAGAAACGGAAGGCTGGGTGTCTGTACCGCTGTGATTTGCTGAGAAGCACGCGCGGGTCACTTTCAAGTGTCTGACAGCATGGAGGGGCGAGAAGAAACTCGAGTTCTTCAGCAAGCTGTCGGGGTGTTAAGAAATATTTTATCATCTCCTGAACATCACATCGTTGTCCTCGTCACTTGATCGAGATGGGACGGGCTCAACTGCACCCAGTGTTACCCACAGCACGGTGGAAAGTGAGATGAGGGAACTTTTTAGACCAGCTAACACCCGGGTAACTTCAACGAGCCAAGTAGCTACACGGAGTTCGACTGGAGTGGGGCGGTCTAAAACATGAGAATAAAAATATCTAAATATAGAAATTAAAATAAAACTATGTGAGAGTGAAAGAATGAATTTTGGCTTGTACGGCCCCTCATAGAAGTCAGGGCTATAACACACAGAAACATGAGTAAGCATGCTAATGTATTCCCTATATTGTCACAATTCCTTATTGTCAGCAGGTTAGACATGTGATCCTCCCGTCTCTGGATACATGAGAAGGGCTGGTAACAGCTGGTTATAACATTCTGCCAGCTAATTTTGGGCTTGAGTGGCCTAACACTTCCCCACTGATGAAAAATTTGATTACGTTCTCACATTTTCAGTTTTGTGTCAGAGTCCAAAAAGTTTCATCCGCTCAAGGACATTTTCGCTAACAGCAGCAAAAACAGCGGTGTTACCAAGGTTCAGGATATCCTCAACAACTCATCTCATCAGTCAGAGATGAGCTACTCTGACTCACAAACTCCTTTCACAAGGTTTTACAACCTCTTCCAGAGTAAAGCGATGTAGGCCCCGACACTGACAGCTGAGGTAAAGAGTGCACTGACGGCTTTCCACGGATAGGGAAAAACTCTGAGGAGGATCTGGTCCAAGCAGTAGCAGAAACACTCTGGCCGGACACACGTTATGGTGTACAGTCTAAATGTAATGTTTTAGATGGCTGATGAAAACATGTTTGTCCTACAGCAGCTACCATAGATAGGATTGTGTGCTTGAACTGGGAGGGGTATAAAAGCAGAACTCTGACTGATATCTCACGGCAAACATTTTACACACTAACTTCAAGCTTATATCATCTGGAGGATTAAAGATCACAGCCATTAAGTCTCAGTTTCAGCAGTGTTCCTCACATACAGCGCCTTCTCTTAGTCCTCATAATATTTAATGTTTTTGTGTAGTTGATGCTTAGTTGAAGATGATTTGACAGAGTGGTGAACCTCTTTGAAAAACTCAATTATCTTGTATTCTGTTTATTGCCAGTTATTTTACTTACTTTGCTTTTTTTAAGCACAACTTTTTAAGATTTTCTTCTCCCATCCCAAATTTTCAGTCATTTTCATTTTGCTTTGATTATATTCTAAATGAATAATGTATCTTTCAAAAGAACAATAACTCTTGTTTTTAGCACCTAATTATTTTGTATCTGTACGGTTCAACTGATTATATTTTCCACAGCGTCCCAGACTTTTGGCAGACGGTGTTGTGTAGGCTCACATATGTTTGCACAGGCTGAGCAGTAATCTGTCAGACTAGAAAATTCAATGTGACACGCAAAATTAGTGACGGGTGATGAACCCTTTCTCGCCCATAAGTGCAATCGCCTACGTTAATGTACAACAACTTCCACTACCAGAAACCATTTTCTCCTTTTCCTCACACGGCTTCAGTCTCATCTATCACAACATGGCTCCCCTCCCTCTCTGCTCGTCGGCCATTTTAGAAATCTTTTCTCCTCTTCCTCCACAGTTGCCTCTTGCCCAGTTTCTGAGAAACTATGCTGCTGCACAAATAAACACAGGAAAGAAATAAAAACAAAAGGGTCAACTTCTTCTCTTCACCATCCACAATTTGCACTTCACCCGTCTTTTCTGAGTTCCTTGCCTCCATACCCTGTCTTTCTTCAACCTCTTTTTTTTTTTCCTCCTCCTCCTCTGGCACAAAGCTTCTTTATAGCCCTCCTTGCCATGCTGCGATAATTAGTCAGCGCTAAAATAATACAGCCTCGAGAAAACAACAAGAGCTGAGCGGAGGGCTTAGCTCTGCCGGGAAGGATGGAGGGAAGGAGGGGTGATGAGAGCCAGAAAGGGAGAGAGGAAGCGAGAGATCGGGAGGAGAGTTGTGTGTGTCAGCCGATTTCAAACGGCTACCAGCAGTTAGATAATGAAAGTGTCAGGTAGACGAGTGAGTGTGCGTGTGAGCGTGCGTGTACATTAAGGAAGCCTGCACGTGTGCATACTTGAATAGTGTTCTTCCTTGCGTAAGACATGCTGTCACTATAGCGTCTGCTTTCTGCCATCTTTGACCTGACCACACCAAGAAAGTCGTGAGCATGTGACCATGCGTGACTCTATAGTCATGTTATTATCAAAATCATAGCAATTCCATTGATTTGTGAGGTGTCATTGGGATGGCTAGCGCTTAATTATGTGTATTAATCACTTGTTTACTTGCGTAATCTTCTTTATACAACTATGTGCTTCATATAGCAAAATATGCATGCATTAGTATGTAGACAGAGCGCCTGTGTGTATGTATATTTATGATCCTGGGAGGACAGACAGCCCACAGGGTTAAGAGCAGTTCACTGTGGTTTCATTACTCTATGCTAATCACAGCCAACGCCCGTCATTTCTCATTTACCACCAGGCTTACTGGAGCCAAGCCAAGTCCTAACCACTCTGTTACAGTTCAAACATGAAATCGCTCCATGTTTGGGGCGGGTACTTTTTTAAGGCTGGAGCTTAAAGTACTGTTAAGGCAAAGTTATTTTGACAGGGAGAATTTCTTTTGTTAAATTTTGAGAGATGGTAGTTATACTGACAGCATAGCGAGTCCAAAGTTTGTCAGTTCGCCCTAGTTTGAATCCAACGCAACTGCGGGCAACTGACTGCAAATGAAGCCCGCCGAATTACCATTTCAAAGGCGAGTGACATCCTGCACATACCAGGGCTCACGCTAGACGTGACTTTGTGACCAAGATGTACGCTACCAGTAACATGTTTTAGTTGCATGTTTTTAACCAGACATAGTGCTTTCTCTCTGATGCAGACTTCCTCTAACTACTGACTTTCTGCTGAAACGCTATTCAATTTAAACTTGCAGAAATCAATAAAAGAATATGCAACCCATAAGAAAGCAATAACGCTAGCTGAAATGTTATTGCACCATATAATAACAAATAACAGGGAAAAAAACATAATTTTGTTGTCCATAGAGTCTGTCTTCTTTTTCTTTTTTCCCCCCAGTTTTACACAGTGGAATATATTCTGTTTGTGTTTCAGAGTTCACTTAACATGCTGACTTCTTCCTTATCCAGATGTTGAAGAACTAAGCCGTAATTCCCTTTTCCTCCCTGTGTTTTGCAGCTGGGACAACATACATCTTCGGGCGAGGCGGAGCCCTCATCACATATACCTGGCCACCCAATGACCGGCCGAGCACACGGGCAGACCGGCTGGCAGTGGGCTTCAGCACACAGCTGAAGGAGGCTGTTCTGGTCAGGGTGGAGAGTGCCAGGGGACTGGGAGATTACCTGGAGCTGCACATAGTAAGATACTGTCCTGGGGTATTTGATGGGGGATGAAATTGTTAGGGGAATTGGAAAATACAGTGAAGGAACTGTCAGCCAGTTGAATCAGAGGAGAAAGTCCACAATAAAATGGATTAAGAAGTACTTGGGCAGGGAAGGTGAAATGGCAGAGAAGTAGGGTTCAGGGGAAAGCAGATTCCCAAGTCAGTTCCTAGAGCACTAGAGGAGAATAATCATTTAAGGTTAAACTTTTGCTCATAAAACTGGAAAACTGGACAGGACTTCTCCAGTTGTTGCAGAATTCCCTTTAAAATGCCATTTAGATTACTGCTTTGTAGTACTTGCAAGGGTCAGTGCAAGGAACTAATGTGTGTAGAATCAGGAAAATGACTGTGAACTAACATTTCTTTTTATCTACTGTCAAACTAGTTATTACCCTCATTTCTGCCTTTATTGCTTTCATATGTTAGTCTTAAAGGTCATTTAAACCCACCTCTAATGATAACTTGAAATGGCAATTAAGGGACAGCGGGAATTTAAAAAATGCTTTTACGCGGGCTCTAATTGTCTCATTGACCCCTGTGCTTCGTCTGCCCAACATTACATTCAACGCTCATAGTCAATTTGATGGTGGGCTTTCCGTTAATTACCAAGCAGGACCACGCCTGATAACCCTGGTCCACTCATCATGTTGCTGAAGTCATGCACTTAAAAGCTGTGTGTAGTTAGGTTCACAGCTCAAGTGTTTTATGGTACCTGTAATGGTGATATTGCAGTATCCTACAGTTTCTTCACACTTACTTAAAATACGCTATCACTGTTATCTACGCTCA